TAAATTGCTTGTGTTACGAATGATTCACGCCAGTAGTCGAATGGCGGATTCGAAACCACGACCTTTTGAGTTCGCGGCCTGCGCTCTGCCATTAGGCTACTGTCGCTTCAATTAACATTATTATTATTATTAACGTTATTGTTAATATAACTAGGTATTTCGACCGGTGAAGGATCACGCTCTCAGAGAATACCAGCGTAAAAAAGTTTCGTATGGTGAGTGTAGAGAACCGGAGACGCTTACTTAGTTTACTGGAAACACGGTTTTCACGGTTGACAACGCATTTGCATTTTGATTCATAATCGAGGATAGATGTAGATGTCTATGGGCCACAGTATTCACTTACCATCAGTTGTACTCGTTGGTCACCCTTATCCTATAAAAGACAATAACTATTTCAGTTGTTACAAAAGCATAGTCGGTCGGTATAGATTTATCGAATGAAAAAGGCCTGTTAAATCTTAAAATCTAGGCGGGAAATTACAATATGATGCAATGTATTTATGGTGTAGTGAATCTTAAAGGTTGAGATGGAATAATATTTGAATTATATGTTTACTGTTTACGTAGTGACAAAAATATAGTAATAAATATAGTAGACACTTATTTAGAAAAATCTCAAACTCGCTTTGTGTGTGAGTTATTTATTAACATCATTATAAAACATCCGAACAAGAAACGTGACATTTAATGTATTTTGATGAATCTATGTTTACATAATGTGTTTGGAATTACTTCGATGTGACTATTCACTGTAAAGTAAATAATTCCATTGTAATCTGAGATTTATATAATGACTTGCAAAACGTTCTATTTTAAGGCATTCGTCTACGGAAAATTTTACTTGTTGAATATGTTTTTAAATAGATAAGAATTTCAGTATATCAAAAATTAAACTGTAAGTTTCATAAAAAAATCATTAATAGGTATGAGAACATGTACAACAGTTGATATTATGTCGTGTAGGTATTGTTATCGGCATTATGTAGAGTGCTCTCGTGTTCGTGTAGGTTGTCGGAGCGTGGCGCCACGTGCCGCCTCCGCCCTCGCCTCGCTAACGACCTTGTGTGGAAATGGAAATGGAGTTAGGGCTGACAAAAATAATTAGAAAAATGTATGTAATTCTTTCCACAAACTCAAAAACCTCGCTCGTTCTTTAAAAACCGTTCAAATTTTATATTTTGTTTTTATTAATTATTAATTAATAATTAATAACCTTATGATTTGTAACATATTTATTATTGTTATAAGGGTTACTTTTCTTTTTTGTTTTTGATTTATAAAGTATAAGGGCGTAGTTACTTAAAACGATTTGATTTATTTATAGATTGATAATTGATGTCTAATCTCTATAACCGTACTTAATCATTTTCCACTAGTTTGTCAACTTGATAACAGTAGATAAGATAGTTGGGATATAAATAGTTCTTACTGAAAATACATTGTTTCATATTTCAGAATAACACGTTATAGGTACAATCACTTTAATACCTATTTGTTTTGATATAACGATGGTAGTGTGCCGGTAGACGGCACTTTCAGTTTCTTTCTTGTTTCGAGTAGTTTTCACACTATTGTTACATATTAGGTATTATTATTATATTAGATACTGTTATATATTATTATTATTATATTAGATACTGTTAATATAGTAAATAATATTAGACTAGACAAACTTCAGACATTATCGTTACAGAAAATAGCAGAAATTGCATTTTAAGGATACTAATACAATTGTGTTTTTTCTTTTATAATACAGACTCATTGTTTGTGTAGCACGAATGAGCTAAAGCTTTTGTTATAAGGTCATTGACCGCATATAAATATGAATGCAATGAATAAGAAATATTCACATGTATATACCGCGTGATGGGCATAAAGGAATCAATTAGTTACGTGACTGTCGTAAGTGGAAACTTGGGGAAACTCCCAAAAACGTTTTTGTAACCTCCGACAGATTGCGGTATAACCATCACGTGCTTATAAACGATGTAGAATGGCTGTGTTTGGCACCAAAAAGCGCTAAGAAGCGCTTGTAAGCAAAATGGCGAAACTATACAGTTTTCGGCCAGGACACGTTTGCTAACTTCAGTAGCGCTGACACAATCCGCCACTTTGTTTATTTATTTTGTTTGTTTTGAAGTAGAATTTATAAGTTGTTTTGTGCAATTCGTTTCAAGTAATGTAATGACATGAATAAACATATTATTCATGTTATTAAAAATTCATGATTGGTAAGTTTTTAATATGAATACTTTACAAACATATATTTAAATTAGGTTAGGTTCCCCGGTTAAAGCTAACTTAGCGTCCTAGAGGAAAATAGCTATTTACCATTTGACGGCGGTTACCACTTACGATCGCGATTTTGCTTACAAGCGCTTGCTAGCGCTTTTTTCTGCCAAACACAGCCAATAACATAAATAGATTGACAACGCCGACTGTCTGTCTGTTAGACGCGGGATGATGTCTTTGTTACCCGTGGGGTAGGTACCACCGAAGTACTGACGATCTACAATCCTCCAGCTAAGATTAGCAATTATCCTAAATTATTCCTACGTTGGAGGATATCTATATCTGTATTTACTCTTATATCTGTACAACAAGTTACATTGATTGTACTGCTTTTTATGTTTAGATATCATACGAAATAGTGCAATTTCAATGCTTGCCAATGGCGTTGTTTTCTATAAGCCCCTCTGATTAACTTTGATTACTCTTATTTAGACAAGAAGTTTAGGTTATAAGTGTTTAAGAGAAACAACCGTTTTGTCAGGGTTTAGTGTCAATGCCATAACGTGTTGTAAGTAAAAGGGAATGATGGCAAAGGCAGTCGGCCGCGACAAGCGCGCGTGACGTTTCGTCACGTAGCGTCGCCACCACTAGTCACGCTGTGACCTTCACCTTGAGCACAGTCGCACGCACCGTCATTACCATGCAAGTACCAAGGGATTGATGGCGCCTTTTGTCACGGGTTTTCTCGCATTTCAACCATATCTCCGTTACGGCACAAGTGTTGACTATAAGTTTGTGTCGGACACAATCTATACATATCTTTTACCAAGTAAAAGGAATGTTTCGTTTAGGATGGCAGTATTGTTCGATATTAAAGGTGCATCTTACTTTAAATGTACTTCGTATAAAAAAAAAATATATATATATATATATATATATATATATATATATATATATATATATATATATATATATATATATATAAGCACAAAATTAGTAAAATCATAGTATTATATTATAGTAACTATGTACAACTGTACATAGTTACTATAATACAACATTAAGGCATTCATTATGCTTTTTATATGTTTTATGATTTTTAAATTAACTTTTAAAATTTATTTTTACTGGAAACGAGGCATTCCATCTTAGTCCTCACGGGTGATAACGCATCTGCATTTTGATTCGTAATCGAGGATAGATGTAGATGTCTATGGGCCACAACAACCACTTACTATCAGGTGGACTGTGTGCTCGTTTGTCACCCTACCCTATATAAAAAAAAATAGGTACTCATAAATTTATTAATTAGAAAATGCGATGACAGAATACAAGCACATACACACGAAACTTAAAATAATATATGCTAACGAAATTTAAAAATAAAATAAAAAATAACCACGTTTTCATCATATTCTTGCGTTGTTATCTGAATTTAAGCTGTATTTAAAATTTGTAATAATAATATAAAAAATAACTACATTTAATCATATTCTTACGTTATTATCCGAATTTTAGCTATATTTAAATTTGTAATAATAATATAAAAAATAACCACATTTAATCACATTCTTGCGTTATTATCTGAATTTGAGCTATATTTAAAATTTGTAATAATAATATTAAAAATAACCACATGTAATCATATTCTTGCGTTGTTATCCGAATTTGAGATATATTTAAAATTTAAAAAATAAATAAAAAATAACAACATTTTTATCATATTCTTGCGTTGTTATCCGAATTTGAGCTATATTTAAAAATTAAAAATAAAAAAATAACCACATTTTTATCACATTCTTGCGTTGTTAACCCGAATTTGAGCTATATTTAAAATTTCAAGTTTTCTACTCATCGGGAAGTTAGTTTAAAATCAATTACTAAATTCCTTAATAAAAACGTGGTAAAATTTCTTTCAATCATTCTTCAAAATGTAGGACATATGGAATTGCGATATGAAAGACTTTTGTATATTTGCTATTGAAGTTTCATCATCAACTCCTTATCAGTTTACCACTGGACATTGCAGGAAGGATTTTCGGTAATCGTCCCGCTTGGCTTTGCTTTGTTGCTGCTCACCAGCGTTGAATTGAGTGTGTATCGATCAGAGGCCATGAGATCTTTTAGCATTTTCCAGTCGCCTCCAACGATACCGGTGTTTAATGATACGTGACGAAATAGGTTGATGCATTACATTCCATTGAATTAATGATTCGAAGTGTTAAATGTAATAAAACACTGAGAACATTTTTCACATTGAACTATCAGGAAATACCGGAGATGAGAGTTGTTGAACGTTGCGGCGGTGTAACGGAGATGTTGTCACCGGCTCTAGTCCCGGATACTTGGCTACTTCCGAAACGCAATGCCTGTACCCCGCACTAAATCTATCCGGAGACGCGGCTCCTTCAGATCTAAGACCTTCTAAATGTTTGACGGTTATTTAAGAATTTAATAACCGTCAAACATTTAGAAGGTTAATAAAGAAACATCTTTCCAATAACAATTAAATTAAAATAAAAAAGTGGTAAAATTTTTAATTTTTAAAGTGGTAAAATTACCACTTTATATTTTTTGTTTATTTGGTACGAACTCACTATATGATTGTTTCTGTATGTTGTTGTGCGTACATAAATAATTAAACAAAAAGTGCAGTGTACTTTAAATAAATAAATTAAATAAAGAAGTGGAATTACTCTTGTAACACTTAACGAAGTGCCATGGAAAGGATTTTATATTGATTGAAAATATTATCCTTGTTACAGAGCAATAAACCAATAATGGAGAAGCGTCGGCGGGCGCGTATTAACAACTGCCTAAACGAACTCAAGGCGCTTATTTTGGACGCAATGAAGAAAGACGTAAGTGGATTTTAATGTTTTGCCTTTGATGACCAAACAATACCTTGAGGAGTAGTAAAAAAATTGTACAACTGACTTCAATACAACTACTTTGACAAAAATGAGGATTTTTTTTTGATAATTACATACACTTACGTACACTTAACACATCCGCATACTGTACCCTTTAGAGGGTACAGACGTGATGTTATGTTGTGTGATTGCGTAAACAATGCAATAGATATGCGATAGCAGCAATCGCGGTTGATTTGCTGGCGGTTATAAAAAAGTTCCATTGTCTGTCTCCGAAACTCATCATCAGATCTTTAGCAAATTTAAATGGGGCTATTTCGGAACTAACTGCTTCCGAACAAAAAAAATACAGAATTTTGCGGATTTTTGCCCGAACATACATAAAAAAAATATAAAAATCCGAATTGAGAACTTTCTTTTTTGAAGTCGGGTAAACTTTTTGTCATCAGTGGAACCAGTTTTTCATTAATTTTTGATGATCAACTTAGTATTTTTCTGACATATCTAAGTAGAAGTTTAATCTAGCGATTCAGAGAGAAAATAAAATTCTGCGTTCTTAAATACAAGTTTAAAAAAATATTTTTTCTTTTCTTTCATTCATTACAGCCTATCAAAGTCCACTGAAGGCTTCCCCCAGTAGCTTGCCTTATAATAGTTACCACGCGTGGCAGGCAGTTTGAAAATAACAGTTTCCTACCGACTTCATAAAGGAGGTACTCAATTCGACTGTATGTTTTTTTTTATGCGTGTTACCTCAGACTTTTTTCTGGATGAACTGATATTGATGATCCTTTCTTTATCTGATAGGTGCTTCTCGTGTAGTCCCATATAAATTTGATCAAGATCTAGACAAGTAGTTTTTGAGTTACCCTTAAGTAATAAGTGTTTAATTGACTTTTATTTATATTGAAGTCGGTTTTACAAAATTTTTAATTTCTGATTGTTGTACCACTTGTTTATTTTCTAATTGGTTATATATATATATATATATATATATATATATATATATATATATATATATATATATATATATATATTAGAAGGATACTGTTGCCCATTTTGGGATGTTTCCGTATGTAGCCTCTTACGACACCCACGGGTCATTAACCATCAACAGTGTTAAATTTATATGTTTAATAAAGATTCTATATATTTTTTTTATAGTATAAGGGTGACAAAAGAACAAACAGTCCACCTGATGCTATGTGAATGCCGTGGCCCATAGACATCTACATTTATCTTCAACTAAAAATCAAAATGCAGATGCGTACGCAACCCTGAGGACTGTGATGGAATGCCTCGTTTCCTGTAAAAAGGGTCTCCAGTTCTCTACACTCACTATACGAACCACAGCAGCATTAAGCTGCCATTTTACGCAGGTATTCTGTGAGAGCGTGGTTCTTCGCCGGTTGAGCCGACCCATTCATGCTGCAACCACAATATAGCTGCAGCATGGCTCTACTTGGTAAAAACTATGTTGTATTATATATATATATATATATATATATATATATATATATATATACATACTATCTCATAGTCATCATATTATATACTAGAAAAATCCTTAAATACGAAAAATAACTTGTGGGTCACTCATGGGCAAAAAAACTATCCTATCTCTCAAGTTGTACCAAACTGCACACGATGTGCAAATTTGATCAAAATCGGTTAAGTAGTTTAAGAGTCCATCGCGGACAAACAACGTGACACGTAATTTATTTATATAATGATATATATATATATATATATAATATGTTGTATTATATTGTAGATGTATAATATATGTTGTATTACATAAACGTTTAAGCTAAGCTATTTTTATTGTTGCAGCCAGCAAGACATTCTAAGTTAGAAAAAGCAGACATTTTGGAAATGACCGTCAAACATTTAGAAGGCCTTCGGTCTGAAGGAGCCGCGTCTCCGGATAGATTTAGTGCGGGATACAGGCATTGCGTTTCGGAAGTAGCCAAGTATCCAGGACTAGAGCCGGGCCTAAAGAGGCGGCTTGTTAGACATCTCGAGAGCTGCGTTAATACACCAGGGTCGAGGCCAACTGGTGCGCCAACACCACCATCTGATAATGAAGATCCCGTTACACCGCCGCAACATTCTACGATTCTCATCTCCGGTAAGTATCTGATAGTTCAAGGAGATAAATGTTCTCAGCTTTTTATTACATCTAACACTTCGAATCATTAATTCAATGGAATGTAATGCATCAACCTATTTCGTCACGTATCATTAAACACCGCTATCGTTGGAGGCGACTGGAAAATGCTAAAAGATCTCATGGCCTCTGATCGATACACACTCAATTCAACGCTGGTGAGCAGCAACAAAGCAAAGCCAAGCGGGACGATTACCGAAAATCCTTCCTGCAATGTCCAGTGGTAAACTGATTAGGAGTTGATGATGAACCGTAGGCAAACTATACATAAGTCTTTCATATCGCTATTCCATATGTCTCACATTTCGAAGATTTTTTTTAATAGAATAGGGGTGACAAACGAGCGCACAGTCCATTTGATGGTAAGTGGATGCTGTGGCCCATAGATGTCTACATTTATCCTCGATTAAGAATCAAAACGCAGATGCGTGTTCACACCTGAGGACTAAGATAGAATGCCTTGTTTCCAATAAAAAGGGTTCTCCGGATCTCTACACTCATCACATGAATCACAGCAGTATTAAGCTGCTATTTTACGCTGGTATTCTGTGAGAGCGTGGTCCTTCCCCGGTCGAGCCGACCCATTCGTGCTACAACCATAATATAGCTGCAGCGTGGCTCTACAACGTACGAAATATTTTCATCCCTTCATTACAGCATATAAAAGTTCACTGCTGAACGCAGATTGCCTCATGAGATTTCACCATAGTTGCCACGCTTGGCAAGCGGGTTGGTTACCGCACGCAGGTTTTTAATACTTTGGGTTTTATCAGGAAGATGCTTTCTCCGTCTCCTGATTCACTTGTTTCTGTTGAGTCTTACTACACCCACAGGATGATATGGGTAGAGGTTTCTCTGGTAGTAATTAGTATTGTTAATAGTAGTAGGCTTGACATCTTCACTTGAGCAAAAAGAAGTACATTTAGTGTGTAAAAAAAACGTATGAAAAAGATATATTGTTGTATATGTGTATATTGTCTTATAAAACTTTTCAGCTGGACCAGGATCAGGTGTACGGCTCGTCCCCACAAAGCTTTCTAATGGCGACATCGCTTTGGTATTACCAGCGTGGGTCAACGCAAGCACTCTCGGCACTGTGCCAAACCTCGTCCCTCTCTCGCCCCGTGAAGCTACTTCATCAACTTCTTCAGAGCCACGTTGCTTCTCGCCAGAAAGTTCAGGGTGGGGAACACCACCTCCCTCAAATGACGAAGCTGTACCATTAGCTTTAATAACAAGAAGACAGTCTCCAGAAGAAAAACCTTGGCGACCGTGGTGACATGTCTATCCCTTTTCTCTTAGTTCATTCTGTGATATATTGTAGTACATATAAATGTAAATTTTATACGAGTGATAGAATATAAAAGTTCCTATTAAATGTAAATTTATTTAAATAGATTTTAATTGAAAAGTGTATATTATTTTGTCTGAAGTTACTTGCTTGGTCAGTATGTAAAATGTTGCCGTAAAAAAAAAAAATTAATTAATCTTGTCTAGTTATTGAACTGCAACATTTACTTTAATATATTTTAAGGTTCTTGATAATTAAATATAAAAATAGATTAATTAATTGTATATTCGTGGATGACATCTGAGGCAGTATTTCATTATCTTAAGGGTCCCGCTGTCCTTTTGTTTTAAAACATAAATGTTTTTATAGTTTTTCATTTACGCACTAAGTGCTACGTAGTAAACATAGAGGTATAAGCACTGGTTATTTATAGGTTACTTGCAGCCGTATAGTCGTATATCGTTATTTTGCAGATGTAAGTAGAAATTTAATTAAAGATTTTATAGCTTAAGAGCGTCGCACTTGGCGTTAAACATTGGTTGAAAACGTGAGATGGCCACTTTAGTATTAACGTCGTATAAATTAGATATGAAATCAATCCATGCACACAGTATGTGTCGGACATGAATTGCTGTACACCGTATCCGATTGGTCAGTATGACAGCGCTGCGACACCGATTTGGCGTACTGAGACGATGTCGAGCGCATATTAAAAAACGCTGATACATCTCTAATCGACGCGACACCTCTATGCTGAAACTATTTAAATACCACCGCTCGATATTGTGTTGCAATTGCATCGTCATCGCGCATAGATATTTATTAAAACCAGGTTTCTGTTGGGAGTAAAAAATATAACTTTTTTGTTTATTTTAGTCGCGATGACCATTAAAAACGCGTTACATGCCACGCTCAATTACATTGACCAATCTAGAGGTGTACGACAATATCGGACAAGGTAGACTTTACATCGCTGTCCTCAATGTCGCCTATAACCGTTTCATTGCAAGTCAGCTTGTAGAGCAGTAGAGCGGTGTGATTTTGGTTATTATTTTTATTAATAGTATTTATGTTTATTATCTGAGATAAATGCGTTTAATTAAAGACCGAAAAAATCCAACGAATGGCTTTATTGGACATAATATTTACTATTACGTCGTCATCATGTCATCAAACCATACATAATCTACTGCTGAACTTGAGTCAATCACAAGGTTGGGAGGATATTCCACAAAATTCATGCTGAACAAGATAATAGATATAGCGATATTTTTATTAGAATTACAAGTAACTATAAAGAATTCCACGTGCCTTAGACAACAAAATCATTTAGTCTTCCATTACGTAAATAATTAATGCACTAAGTAAACTTCGATTAATTTACTTTACTTTAGAAGAAGTATATTACATCTATCTATTAATTTTTAGTTTTAACGCTCAAATATAGTGTTTTTTGTTACCGAAATGCGTTATTTAGTCATATTCGTCTTCCATTGCCAGTTACCGTTCATGGACAATATATACCAACTAGGTTGAAGAAGTAACAATTATGAATAAGTATCTAATATTTAATACGTACCTATAACTTCTTACATTTTATTATCTGTGGAATGTCTTAGGAGTTTTTTTTAACTACGCGAATGTACAAAAATATGTATTTAAGAATGTTTGAGAACAGTACGTAGTTTTAAAGGTATAGTTAATTCAGTTGTAAATATAAAAGTGATATTAAGATAAGGATATTAAGTGAAACCGATATAATATTTGTGTAAATTGATATGATGTACCTAACAAAGATATGCCATTAAAATAATTTAAAAATATGGAGTTTTTTTTTAAATATGTTTTGATACGTGGCTGATTATGGTTGTAGCATGATAGGTCAGCTTAACCGAAGAAATACGCTATATATCAGCGTAATTATCAGCACATAAAGCTGTTGTATTTCGTATGTTTAGTGACGAGAACCGAAGATAATAATGTAATAAAAAAAAGTTGTAGGAGTTTACAGATATTATTTATTTTCCTTTCCATGTACGAGACCATGCAATTTAAAGTAAATATTACTTACTACATGTATAAAAACATTTTTTTTTCACTCAATTAAATAATCTTTGACTACAATCTAACCAGATAGTGAAATCATAGATTCTAGCCTAATAAAAGTTATTTATTCTTGCCTAGAAGAATCCTTTGCTGGACGCATTACGAACGACGGAGTAAACCATTTGCCTGTAAAAATGCCCGGTAAAAAAGCAAAGGGTTTGAAATCTGTCTGTTTGGTTTAATCTGATAGTGGAGTAAAGTCAGGGGGAGGAAAATAAACATTTCTTTATATCGCATTGTTCAATAATAAAACATTAACATAAACTTTATGAGGTTTGCACTTCTTGATTTGCCAAACTTGTTTTGATGTTACAATGTCTGATTAAATAATTCTGAGATATAGATTTTTTTTGATTGACAATTACAAAAGAACACGTATGAGTTGTAATAAATCGTGATCATGTTCATCGAGAAAAATAATCAAGATATTTGACTTTGATAGATCCTTAGACCTAAAAGCATTTATTACATTATGCGAAAATCCGTAGATATATTTCTTTCAAGAACATGAGTACGTCTGTTTAGCGCGGGTGGGATATACGATGCTTAATGAAAGAAATATTTATTAGATATTTTTCTTCATAGGGAAATAACTAAGGTATACCCGGCGTGTCGGGACAGGAACAGGTTTCACCGTAACGGTGTTCTATCTTCCCTTCTTACCTTCCTATCCGCTATCCACGAAGCTACGGGAACCCTTTCACGCTCGATAGCCACACCTCTTTGGGAATCAACTTCTCAATATATTATCTCTTATCAGCGGCGCTTCTTGCTATATTAGAACCTCGACCCGGTTCTTGGGTCTTCCACACGCGTCGGTATAGGAACGACATGTATGTGTATTCATAATATAATATATGAAACTATTTATATCTTAATTTAAATGGCATTCCCATAGGTACTATCACAGAAATAGGCAAGTATTTAACACGAATCGTATGAGTAATTTTTCACCTATAGAATTTTTTCATTATATTTGTTATACAGTTGATTTTGAAGATTTAGACCTATTATTACTAGCCAATATGGCGATAGCTTATTGTCAATCAGATCATCACCTACTATTAGATTGAACCGAAGTTACTGGCAGTCAGTTTTATAATAATAATATAAAAATTTAAAAATAAGATGCAATGAGTTTCAAAATTATGTAAAACATCTTCATCCAGTCAGACCACACAGCGTCAGATTTTAAATAATTCAATTTTCGTATACATACCCTACAATCACCCGCCAGTAATTTAAACTCTTTCGTACCGTCGACTTTTTCATGAAGACATCAAAAAATCTTAGCTTCGCCGGTGGTCGGTCTAATTCGTCAATGATTATAACAGTTTGTTTGCACTGTCCAGACACTAATGGCGGGCTATTGGAGGAGTTATTGCATCGGCGGCAGCAATTTGCTACAATCAAGGCCTTGCGTCGCTTAATTATTTTCATGTCTGCTCCATCCTGACCGTGGAGTTGTTTCGTTAATAATTCAAATTTTTACCTACATCGCGACCAATTATTATCAACCGATTTCCTTTTAATTTTGTAAATTATTATCTGGTGGCATTTATTTCAGAAGTTAAAAAGTATATTCCAGGGAATGTTTTAAAATTTGCTTAAACGCGGCATTTTCATTTCTAGGTTTATGGATTTATTGCTACGTGCCAAAATTAGTGAAACGGGACACTTGTGGAATCACACTATGTGTGTTTGTCTGCCTGACACAGAATTTTCTCACAGAGAGAATAAAAAATGTAACATCAGGAGATCAAACTCCATTTGCTCGGACACTCGAAATTCAAGACGAGCAAAATGAGCTCAGTCTTACTCAACTATTCTAATTTTATTTTTATAACGATTTTTTGGATTTTAACACTTTCCATGTGACTAATAGGTAATGCTAAATAAAAATAATATATTACAATATAGTACAAATATATGCACAGAGTAAAAACAACTTAGAGCCAATAATGAAGTGTAACACCTGGCTCTACCTAAATGTGAGTTAAAGACCGTTTGCAAATCAACGAAAATTAGGGTGTTTTTCGGTAACGATTTTGTGACAAAACTAAACCAAAAATCAAATATAAGTAAAAACTACCATGTATAGATTGGTTCTTCATCTGCAAATGTCTGTAACTCTTTTGTTGAAAATAGTAGTTTTTTATATTGTAAAAACGAACTTTCGTTGCCATTTTCTACAAAATTAACGATACCGGCTTGTGTTTCGGTAAATGTTTTGGTCTATTATCAACATATTTAAAAAAATTTAAAAAATACTATAAGATGACAGACATATTCAATTAAAAAACCCTGGGTTTATTTTTTAACAAAATGTCACTAATAGTCGTAAAAAAAATAAAAACTGATGCACATTTTTTCGCATATTTTGGTAATATGGATGAATCATAATGTATTGCAATAAGGGCTATTTTATTGTTGGTGCCTGCTTTGATTTATTGTACAAAGATTTCGATGAAACCACAGTCCGCGCTCGGCCGCCGTCGTGAGTGGACACTGTATCGCCTGTTTGCAGCGGCTCATTCTGAAAAGATCGCTGTACATACACAAAATATTAGAAAAAAACAAATTGGAAACATAGGTACTTGACAAGTGATAAAATTATTATTTTTATACTCACAGTTTTTATTTAGCTAAAAATAAGTAGGATATATAAACTTACCTACTACTGCAACTCGTGGACGAGCGGAACTAGGTGTGCCGAGTTTGGGCTCGTTTTGTTGGTTATGATGAGACCTTACCTCTGGACTTGATGGCATGACCTGAAGGTGTACTTTCGTGACCGCTATTTGAACTTCTTGCAGAGTAAAACTAGGGGTGACGAATTTGGGCTCCGTTTTGTTAGTTATGACGAGTCTATACCTCTGGAC